GTGACCTCACAGCATAACGAGGTTTCGAGAGCGCCATAAGAAAGTACTACACCTCAGTATCTGTCTGGCCATTGATGCACGAAAAGCTTAGCAATCGACAGGTCTTCGGAATACGATCGTCAAGCTACTGTTGTGAAGAGCCGTCGCGCCGACAACAAATTCAAGGAAATCATTGAATTGTTTAAATACTTTAAACCCATGGTCTATAACTTTGAAATAGCACATGGAGACTCAGGTGACAAGGGTAATTTCAGTCCAGAACGTAAGACTCATAAGAACCACTCTGGTGCCATCTTGACTCCAAGAATTCGTCGCCAACGTTGCGGAAATTGTGTTGGAGAACCTCAGAAAAAGCATGAGAAAAATCACTAAGGAAATGGGCACGAGCTGGCGAACAATCGGACTTAGTGTCAAGAAAGACATGAATTATAAATCTTATGTGCGCCGCTTGCTCACCGTAACACTGGTGGCCCGAATTATAACCCCCCCCCCGTTATCGTCAGACAGACATCCTCTCGACTATTTCGTGCGGGGCGTTTTGAACAGGGAATGAACAGCGAGCCATACAACACTAAGGAGGCTATTATGTCAGTCTTTAAGACGCCATGGCCAACATGAACAGAAACGTCGTCACCAAAGCCTGCTCCAGCATCCGCTTCCGCCTGGTGAAACTGGTTACCGTTGGTAGCCATATCGAGGGTTTTTTCTACCTAATTTATGTCCCTAACTGTGTATAATGTTTCATTGAAATATATCAATTTGTTGTATAAAAAACACTGTTTTTATTATTCATTAATTTTTTAAGGATATATCTACGCCACACTGTAGATATGAGTTTATTTGTTTGTCTATTCAATTTTTTTAAGCATATCACACCCAAGTAAGGCGGGAGTGCCACTAACACGCAAGGGGTTACAGACAGTGAAAGAAAGAGTAAAGAGGGGTGTTTGTTGAAAGAATAAAGAGTAGGACGGGAATCAAGATCAAGGAATCATAAGACGCCGATTGACATTTAATTTGAAGATTGTAGCTATCAGGGAAGCAAGTAAGAAGAAAGGAATTCCACTGTTGTGAATTACGCGATAAGAAGCTCTTGGAGTAGAAGAGACGGCTACATTTAATCGATTCGACAGGGAAAGGGTGGGATCGAGATGCCAACCTAGTAGCACGCTTAAATTCATGCAGTTTGGGTACCAGTGAAATCTGACCGTCATAGCCTTTGCCATGAAAATATTTGTAGAAAAGACAGAGAAGCCACAGCACGTCTGTGAGAAAGTGACTGTAGACGAGATATTAGATGAGGATCTAAAACATTGCATATCTCTCTGAATGTTTTTTGATGACCTCGAGATGAACAGCGGGGGCACCAGACCATATGTGGCAACAGTATTCAATGCAAGGACGAATAGCTGATTTGTAGATTTGAAGGATAGACTCAGGCGAGAAAAACCTTCTGGCGCAACACAGAGAACCAGCTTTACTTGCGGTAGATGAAGCTATTGATTCACTATAGTAGTTCCAGCTCAGGTCAGTGGAAAGCGTGAAACAAATCAGGTGTAGAGAGGCACTCACGTGGTGTTGGACATCAGCCATTCGGATAAGAAGCAAGGAGTGTTCTCTGTGGTAGGTAATATGAGAACAATTTCGTTTTGGAGGTATTAAAGTTTACGTTTACATGACATTTCCTGATATATATATATATATATATATATATATATATATATATATATATATATATATATATATGTGTGTGTGTGTGTGTGTAAATAATTTCAAAAATAGGAAAGAACCGTTAGATTAATAATCCGAAGTTCTTTAGTACTTTTGTTTTTATTTAAAAAAAAAATAGTGCTCGATACACAATAGTCTATATTATAATTTTTAAAATATGATTCCATCGCTACACAGGAATTACCATGTTTCAAAACAGATACTAAAAACTTCGAATTCAATTAGAGAAATTAAATTATAGTATCTAGTTCTGTTTCATCCTCAAGCGGTTTTGAAATAACTAATTTTGAAATTTACAGAGCTTTATATATATATATATATATATATATATAGAGAGAGAGAGAGAGAGAGGGAGAGAGAGAAAGAGAGATAGGTGCACGCGCGTCTTTGTGTGCGTACGAGTGTACGTGTGTCCTCGTCTGCATGTCTTCTATTTTATTATGCTGATTAATGATGTCAATAGCGGATGTTCATTGTATAAGAAGTGGCTGACCGTTCATGCCACTTCTTCTGTTACAGATAACAGCTGAGTGTCAATCAGGTAAAACAGGGTCCGGCATGAAATTCGTACAATTCAGAGACGTGCCATTGAACATATTGCGCATTCATTTGCTGTCGTTGACGCGTGTTGATAGTTTACGAAGAACGACTAATGTATGTGAGTACATTAAAGGCATGATAACGAGGCTTTGTAGTGTGCACAGCGATGTGTGCAACAATCCATGCTCAGTTTCACCTACATAGAAATGAAGATCACCACAAAAACAAAAAAGCTTAAACTATTGTGGGTTCTATGTGGAAAAATACTTTTTGTAGTCTGAGACCTTGTGCTATTTCAGTGATGTTATTTGGCTTCTGTGTGTGTATGTGTGTAGTGGGGCGGATGTTTATGCGTGTTTGTAAATTTGTCTGCATTTGAGTTGACAAGTAACGTAATCGTAGCTGGCGTACATTACTAAATTGGTGATAGGTGTTTGTGGTGTTTTTGTGTATATGTTTATGATCACTCCACACCAATACCATTCTTCTCTATTCAGTCGTCGGGTATCTTAGTAGAAACCAAAATAAAAAACGACTCGTCGCTGATCTTTTTAAGTTGTAGTAACAATAAGTACCTTGAGTTGGTCGAATCACGTATAAATTATCTTAAGAATTGTACCTATACTTTCTCTGATCGCTACCTACCTGGAGTGAATTAGCTGATCGATCTTAACATGTCGCATGGTAAAGTTTTCTCAAAAAATACAAAAGATTATTTTTACATAAATTTCAATGAGAACGTTTTTCTTTTCTTTTCTCCGCATCATATATTTTCGGATATTTCAGAGGCTAGCTTTTTATGGTATGCATTAAAAACAATCTCTAGATTGTGCTTTCTTTATCTGATTTTTTTTCCCTTATTCTATTTATGTACCAATTTGAAGGATCGTTTCTACTTTTCCTTCCGATTATTCTTATTCCAGCGACAAGTATGTCGCCATTTCTCTTAAATAAAATCTCCTTTTCTTTCTCAGTTATTTTTATTTTTTTTATTCGTTTATTTCCTCAGCTTACTTCATGCTGTTACTCAGTTTCCTTTCATTCAAGCCGATTAAATTTTTCTTCGCTTTTCTTTCATTCAATCTGATTAAATATTTTAAAATTCGAGCTGATTATATATTTCATTTTACATTCCTTCAAATTCATTTAAATCTTTCTTCATTTTCTTGATTATATTTTTAAATTTTTATTTTATTCAAACTGATTTCTTTCATTCAAATTCATTACATTTTCTTCCTTTTTATCATTCAGGATGATTATTATTTTTTCTTTATCTTCCATCATTCAAGCTGATTTTTTTCCTTTCTCATTCATTCAACTTCATTAACTTTTTCTTCATTTTCTCATTGAAAATAATTATTTTTTCCTTCATTTAAACCGATTAAATTTTTCGTTTATTTTCCTTTCTTTTAACCCCATTAAATTTTTCTTCGTTTTTCTTTCATTCAGTTTGATTTTTTTTCATTTGTCTTCAATTCAACCACATTATATTTTCTTCATTTTCTCGTTCACAAAGTTTAATGTTTTATTCACTTAAACCTGAATAAATTTTAAAACCTGAATAATATTGAATTATTAAACCGGAATATTTTTCAACCTTTCCTTCATTTGAGTTGATTAAATTTTCATTTTTTCCATTGAAGCTGATTAAATATTTCTTCATTTTCTTTCATTCAAACTGATTTTTTTTATGTGCCTTTACTTCAACTTAATTACATTTTTCTTCATTTTCTTATTCAAGATTATTCATTTTTATTCATTTTTCTCTTATTTAATTTCAGTAAACTTTTCTTCGTTTTTTCTTATATTCAAGCTTTTTATTCTTCATTTTTCTTTCATTCAGTCGGATTAATTTCTAATCATCCATTGAAACACTTATTCCTTTGCCATATTTCATTCTGTGATTTAGTCTTTCGGAAATGTTTCTTCTGTATTTCTTTAATATTTTCCTCATTCATATATTTTCCTTCGTATCTATTTTTCATTTATTATTTCACTCTTTGGATTTTTTATTTATTGTTTAGCATTTCACTTTATCATTCATTCACTCATTCAATATTGTATTTATTTTTATTAATACCGTATTTACTCATTCATTTTGTGTATTTTTATTTTATCAACAATTCCTTTCCAAATTACCATATTCTGCCGTCACCGTGTACATTCTGTTTTCTCTCTATTGATTTTGGTTCAAAATCTATCAATGTCTCACACATCATCTCAATATTTTCTATTGAGTAGTAAATTTCTTTTCTCGATTCCTATTTGTTCTCTCTCTCTCTCTCTCTCTCCTCTCTTGTTCAACTAACATTCCTTCTCTCTTTCCATTTGTCTCTGTCATTCACGAATAAATACCTTCTAATCAGCAGCGTCCTTCTTTTTTTTCGAAGGATCTCTTTTGAATATCTCTTCACATCTCTCTATTTTCCCCATTTTATTCGCAGTTTTCTCTCCTCCATTATTCTTGTTATCAGGGTTTTATCCAGTTTCGGGGATTTTCTTGCACACATTTGTAAGGACATTTCTGAATTTTCACCCTTCTCTCGCCCGTTACAGAATCAAGATTGTCGTTTTCTTGGTCCCCTTTATTGTTTTTCTCTTCTGATTGTTATTTTCCTAGAAGAGATGACGTTTCCAAGCGAGTGCAAGAATTTCGTTCGAATGGTGCCGAAGTTGACATTCAGTGGGAAAAAAAAAACGGAACTTATGCGCAAGAAAATAGTCGGGTTTTATAAGACTCTTTTGCTACGTAATTGGATCTTTCTCCATTTGATTGAACATTTGTTTCTGGGAAACAATGCTGAAAGAAAGAAAAAACCGTTCCAAAAACAGCAAGAAGAACCTGAAGAAGCGAGCCACGGACGGGACGGGCTGGAAACATTGAGATCCTATAGAAAATGAAGTAAATCAATTGATAGAGAAAGAGGATGAGAGAAATAGAGAAAAAAAGATAGAGAAAAGATTTTAAAAAAATAAATCAACAGAGGTCAGAGATAAAAGAAATTCGATCGGAGATGAAAAAAGTAAAAGCAGAAAAGTGCAGGTAATTTAAGCATATGGTAGTGAAGTTAATGTTAGAAGAAAAGGTAAAGAGCTCAAATAAAAAAAGTATAAAGATGTAACAATTTGTTTTCTCAACGTATGGGTGGCATCCTGTTTTACGAAGGATATGTCTCAACAGTATATAAATATCTACCTCTCCTCAGATATATATATATATATATATATATATATATATATATATATATATATATATATATATATATAATTGAATTGGTAAATATTAAAAGTGAAAAAAATACATAAAATTCCAACAACTGAAAATTGCTTCAGCATGAAACTCGGAGTTGTGCAATTAATGTAAGATGTTATGTATATTTTTTATATATATATATATATATATATATATATATATATATATATATATATATATATATATATATGTGTGTGTGTGTGTGTGTGGAAACAAATTCTATCTATTAAATGTTGTATATTACTTCATTAGCTTTCAATTACAAGTGTTTTGAAGAGACAGAGAAAATTGAGAGATTTATATATAAATAGATTAGTGTGAATTAAATGCGAACGATTTCAGCTGGAAATTAAAATCTGATCGGTGTTCCTATATTTGATCGTTAAGCCAATACCACGCTTGTATATGTACCAAATAAGTCTTGATCATTTTACTCCTCTAAGTGTTCTGTTTTTTTTTTTTAATTAACTTATCAGTTTTTAGTTGATTTCCGTCATTTCTAAAGGTTTACTTTATTATGGATTTCTGGAAGAAAATCAACAATGAACAGTTTTCAAGATGATGTTGTGTGTAATCTAATTCTTTATTGGGTAAGAAAAAACAATTAATTCATCTATAGAATAAATATTTTATAGAAAATATTAAATTTTTGTTAAAATAATTATAAAATTCGGTAATAATTATCAGTTTAACCTTTAGGTTCTGAATTATTCATTTCTGATTTAATTTATTATTGATTTAATAATTATAAATTTAGTGATATTATTATTATTATTGCTGTTATTATTTTTATTATTATTATTATTATTATTATTATTGCTGTTGTTATTATTATTATTATTATTGATTTAATTTATTATTTTTTTATAGAATATTAAGTTTGATTTTTTTTACATTTTTTTTCTGTGATTGTTAGCCAAATAAATAATAACCCCAAGAAACTAAACTCTAGGTTTAATAGTTTGCATTTATTTTCTCGTTGAATATATATAAAAATGAATTGGTTTTGCCTTGGCGCTATAGAATCACAAACAAAGAACATTATCAACTAAGGGTACCCATATCATTTAGTGACTTTCAACAGCAGCAATAGTTAAAATGGATAGCGCATGCAACTCACAGAGAAAATAAAGACATAAAGAAAATGTTGACATTCCACAGGACTTCAAATGAAATGTTAGGAAGGAAAACCCCATTAAATTAAATTTCAACTGAGAGCAGTACTCGCTGTTCGGTAAATGAATGCCGAATATTTCGTCATAGGGAAATGGCTATTAAGATTACCATTTTAATTAATATTATATTCACTATAACTTTTTGTATATTAACTATATTAAAGAGATATTTTGATGTATTTGTATTCTTTATGGGTCTTTACTTTCCGGTCGTTTCCCTATATATGTGACTAGCAGTAGAGCCCGGCGTTGCCCGGGGATGTAACAGTAAGAGATAGATCACGTATCGACCATCATAAAGACTGAAAATTAAAATTGACAAAGATTATTGTTTAAGGTTGACAGACACGCATGTCTTAATTATTTTTTTTTATTTTTTTAACGAATTGGTCAAACCCAAACTCAAACAAAAACATTGTTTTCAATCGTTATGAGTCTATCGATTGAATAGAATTTTATTATAAACAATTGTCTTGTAAATAGAATTTTTAAAGCATTCTGAATGTAAAAGTAAAGAAAAAAGCGTGCAAGACAATAAGAAACACTACCTGCCAAAAAAAAGTGAAGTTTTGTTGAAATCGGTTGAAAAATTTAGGAAATCCAATCCCATATATAAACGAACACACACACATACAAGCAACCTGGGTTTTATAATAAGTATAACTCGATATGAGTTGTCCCTCTTTCATTCTGGCGACAGAATCGTGTTTTATCGTGTTTTCAAATTGATTTCGTGCAAAAACAATTGTGTTTTTCAATTTTTGGCGCTGTCAGAACCACCGCAAGGTAATTTTACGGAGTCCTGTGACGTTTTGTTGAAATCTGTTGAAAAATGTAGGAAATCCGATCCAATATATAAACGTTCAGACACACACACACATACACACACAATCTGCGTTTTATAATAAGTAAGAACACAATACAAACACTGAATAAAATGCACATCAGGGCAGTTGTAAGATTATTTCAAAAGCTCCCCGACTTGAACATCTATATTATTATTATTATTATTATTATTATTATTATTATTATTGTTGTTGTTGTTGTTGTAATTATTATTGTTGTTGTTGTAATTATTATTATTATTATTGTTGTTGTTGTTGTAATTATTATTATTATTATTGTTGTTGTTGTAATTATTATTATTATTATTATTATTGTTGTTGTTGTAATTATTATTATTATTATTGTTGTTGTTGTTGTAATTATTATTATTATTATTATTATTTTTGTTGTTGTAATTATTATTATTATTGTTGTTGTTGTTGTAATTATCATTATTATTATTATTGTTGTTTTGTTGCTATTATTTCTAACCGTGTGCATTTCCCTGTGGGGTATATTGCCTCAGTATCACCACGTTAGGTGTTACTGTTCTTGTTTCCGTAGCAAATATATATATATATATACAAGTATATGATTGGTATATACGAAATGAATTCCAATAACCAACAAATACTATTCTTAAAAGAGTGCTCAATACAAAGTAGAGCAGATATAATTATTTATTTTAAAAAATTTATAACATAAATATGTTATAAAATCACTACAAAAATAGCCACTTTGTTTCAACACTCTCAGTTTCTTATCAAGTGATGATGTTGAATGTAAAATAAATGGTTTTAAAAGTTTCGAATTAATTAACAATGCTTCACAATCCTTGTGATCGTGGTGATGTTCTCTGTCTCGTCCCTTTTCTGTGTGTGTATATATATTTAAATATGTCTGGGTGCTTATATATTATAATCTGATTGCGTTTGTTTTACGCGTGAGTTTAGGACCCCATTCACACACTCTTAGGATTAAAATTGATACATTGTCAAAAGACCGGATATAAAATTAGCTAAAGTAACTTCAATGAAGAAATAAATTGAATAACATATATATTTCTTCTTTTCTCCTCAGTAATTTTATAGTTGTAAACTTAATAGCGATTAAATTTTTTAATTTTAGTATTAAATTTTATCATATAATTTAGTAATTATTGGTTAGAATAAATTCTTTTTTAATACTACCCATATTTTAAATATTTGAATAGCTATCATAACATGACTTCGTTGTCAAGCTTATTGAATATGGCTATTTTTGTAGTGATTTTATAACATATTTATGTTATAAATTTTTTAAATAAATAATTATATATATATATATATATATATATATATATATATATATATATATATATATATATATATATTACTTTGAGTGATTCGAGTCCGACTCTCAACCGTCTTTTTTTATTCTTTTTTTTTCAGAATGTTGCTTTTCCCCCAAAGTGGTTACCAATCAAGGCTAGGGTACACAATTTTTGCTGCTATGAACATCTAATTGAAATTGAAAAAGTGACTGATTCATACCTTTGCAGGAATATTTGTGTAAAAGCAAATGTGGCCATCTCTGCTAGAATTTGAACTCACCAATCCCATTTCACTCGATTTAAACACTATACTACGCTCACACCTTCGTATCCATATTAATCCTATATAATTTTCTCTATATTTTTCATATAGATTTTATACTTAATAGTTAACTTACTATTGGGTCTGTTCTTTGCTTTTCAATAAATAGCGATCTGAGTTATATCACGTAAATTGTTAGAAATTTTCATTTTCTTTTTAATTTAATACGCTCCCAAAGTCAAAAGGAAAATAACAGACCACATCTTTACTTATTTAATAAATATTCGTCCACATTTTATGATATCACATTTAAGAGATCTGTCAAAAATAATTCAGTAGTTCAATATTAGTTAAAATGTAGCCTACCTTGAACAATGTTGCCTTATTCCACATCCACATACATGACGTATTTATCCCAGACCCCATTTCGCTTTTTCAAATATTATACAGTATCGTATTCAGGTATCGTTATCAGTTGCCTTAAAGCATTCTCGTTAATGTCATCCATGGTTCGAAATATCATTCATTTCAACGGCGAATTTAGCTTCGAGAAAATCAGAAGCAACATGGAGCCATATCCGGATTGATGATTGGGTAGCTTTAAAACCGGAATAATGAAATGTTTTGCTTCCTAGAAATCTGTAGGAGACGTGATCTTCATAACAGCTGGTTATTTTCTTAGAATATTCTTAATCTGTTACTGTCATTCATTGATTGTCTTTTGATTGCAAAAGGCAGGTGTTCAATATTTTCCAGTGTTCTACTCGTTGATGTCCTTACAGAAAGGGAGCCGCTTTCAACTGATGGCGCTCAATTTTGAAACATCGATAACCAAGTTTTTATTTTCTGTGTTTCAGTCAATGATTTATTCGCGAAAATCTTCTTAATCATACTGACGAATCATTAACACCACAGGATAAAGTCTGGTCACGCATATGTAGTAAGCTCTTCTTCTTTGCCAAATTGCATCAAGGTTATGCAAGAGACATTTTGAAAATGGCTGGGGAGTTTCCTGACATAATTTGTCGTCAAAGGTACAATTTTTTTGTCAAAATTCTTCTTGACATTATATGATATGACCTTTTAGAACAAAATTGGTTATGCCTCTCCACAATTTAATGTCTTTTTTGTTTTGCCATAAATTTTGTCTTTCATACTATCTTATTTCTGTTCTATATCTGAAAATCAAATTTGTTAAATAGGTTATTCGTCATTTACCTCTTTTTCTCTTACCTTCAAATTAAATTAATCAACATGTGACACAAAAATTTAATTAGCCACTTCTTGATTATTAGCATCAGTTTCCTTGTAGTTCTTATTATCCTTAAATCTTCTTCGTGTTCTGTCCATGGTAATCTCCACATTCATAGAACCTCATCTCCGTAGAACCCCATCCCTCTCGATGGACGCATCTTCTTCAGTTCATTACCACAGATTTTCAAAATTATGGTGTTATGTAAAATATAAAGAACAAATAAAATTTGTGTTTATAATATGATAATAAATTATAAAAATGAGAACATATTCATAATTATTAATAAATATGTCTATTTAAATCGAAAAAATGTTTATATTTAGAACGAAAAAAGGCGTAAAAAATGTAAAAATTAAGAAAAAACTAAAAGTTAAAGAGCAACGTTCTCGCCTTTGATTAGGTGCTTGTTTAAACTTCAGGGGAAATAGCCTAGCTGATTGGTATATGAATTGCTGACATAATAATTGTGAGTTCAATTCCTAGGCAGTACAGATACCGTAGAAACTGGGCGATTAATAACTGAGCAGTGGTGAATAAGAGCTAAAACTAGATATGCCCATATATGGACAGTGAAACCAGAACAATCTACTCAGTAGATTGTATAAAGGGTACTTTCGAAATTCACTGAATAATGTCAGTATCGACAAATACCTGCCGAAGCCGGAGAGCACAGTAATTGTGATAATAAAAACAAAGATGAGAACAATATATCGAATGTAAATAATATACATAATGATTGCTTCTCATTGCCATAATTCAGACAGAAAGAAAAAGAGACATTTCGTTTAAAATATCGCAAAAAGTCGAACAGAGAGCGAAATATATATACACACACACACACACACACACACACACACACGGAGGGAAATAGAGAGAGAGAGAGAGAGGGAAATAGAGAGAGAGAGAGAGCGGAAGAGTGAGAGAAGATGAAAGAGCGAAAGAGAAAAAGAGATGAAAGCGCGAAAGAGAGAGAGGATGAAAGAGAGAAAGAAAGAGAGAAAGAAAGAGAGAGAGGATGAAAGATCGAAAGAAAGAGAGAGAAAGGATGAAAGAGCGAGAGAATGAAAGATCGAAAGAGAGAGAGAGAAAGGATTAAAGCGAAAGAGAGGATGAAAGATCGAAAAACAGAGAGAGAAAGGATTAAAGAGAGAAAGAGAAAAGGTAACAGAGCGAAAGAGAGATGAAAGAGCAAAAGCGAGAGAGAGAGAGCGAGAGCGGGTGAAATATTGAAAGAGAGAGAAGGTGAAAGATCATTGTGAGTAACATGAATAAAGAAATGGTACCATTTAATCATGATTTTGAATTTATCCTTTACAGTAAACAGAAAACTGTATGTAGTTCTTTGAAGAAAATGATAAAATATAATGGCGCTTATTTTTTACATTTGTTAGATCAAACTATCAAGATATTTACCTTCAATTTTTTTTTTTTTCGTGGATCAGTTATGAGTTTGGTGTAAATATCAATGATTAATGACTCGTTCGAAACTTCAAATGAAAGCAACCTTTCATATCCCTTCGACTATACAGATCGATAAAGATCATAATGGTTGATTTCGGTCTTATTGCGAAATACAGGATCGAATCTCTAATGTGGCAACCATTTACAGCAAAAATCTTAGTAGAACTTCAAGATTTCAAAGACGTTACTTGAACACCCGATATAAATACGTTTTTCTAATCTATTGATACTCCAGCGGGCTATGCATTAGTTTAATCTCGTCTGATGCTGAAAACTATTAGCCAGAAAAATAAAACCTATGAATGTTTGAGTGCAACAATAACTTTACTACCTCTATACCCTAATATCTGTTACATTTGCATATAAATTACTTACACCAAATTTCACAATTCTTATGGGACAGGAATAGTATTACTTTTTATAGAACTCTTTCTAAATGTTAAATTCTTACTTCGTAACCCTTATAAAGTAATCACACATAAGTTTATCAAGTGTTTATTTAGCACCGAAGCCAGAAGTTGATGTTCGAGTCCCTTTAAATGCAAGGGTTTGAAATAAAAAATTTTAACTGAAAAGCACAACTGGCTTGAAAAATTGGCGTAATACATATCTTCGCTTCTGCATTATTTCTGTTTGGCCTTGTGTCAGCTTACACAAAACTTAGTTTAAAAAGGGAATGAAAACAATGCTAAAATAAACAACGACTACAACACATAAATATATAAACTTTTAAAAGGTTAGGGGAAAATAGTTTAACTTTCGAGATAATCTACTTTTTTTCCTTAATGGTTTACTAAAATTTTGATCGTCTCGAGAAAAATTCGTTTCATTTTTTGTTCGGTTGATTTTTGTTTTTTGTTTTTTTTTACTTTTTTTTATTTATTTTTTTATTTATTTATTTATTTATTTTGCTTAGTGGCGTACTAAAATCTTGATCGGCTCCAGATAATCTCCTTTTTTTTGCTTAGTGGCGTACTAAAATCTTGATCGGCTCCAAATAATCTCCTTTTTTTTTGCTTAGTGACTTACTAAAATCTTGATAGGTTCGACATACTTTCCTTTTTTTTTTGCTTATTGGCGTACTAAAATGTTGTTCTACTCAATATAATCTTCTTGCTTTGTTTAGTGACGTACTAAATTCTTGATAGGCTCCAGATAACTTTCCTTTTTTTTTTCTTTTTTTTTTTTTGCTTATTGGTGTACTAAAATCTTGATCTACTCATTATAATCTTGTTTTGTCTAGTGACGTACTAAATTTTTGATCGGCTATAGATAATCTCTTTTTTTGCTTAGTGACGGACTAAAATCTTGATAATTTCAAGGCATTCTCCTTTTTTTTTGCTTAGTTACGTACTAAAATCTTCATCTGCTCAAGATAATCTCCTTTTTTTGCTTAGTAATCTACTAAACCAATGTCTTATAGTAAAAAATTTTTTTAAATATTTGTTAATTAACCTTGCTTTATCGAGAAGAAAACCTATCAACTATTAGACGACAATGTATGACCGTCAGATTAAAAGACATCCCCAAGTGAGACGTCAGAATCAAACAGATCCTCTACTTCAGGACGTTGAAGATCACAACACTTCCTGTCGTTTGTAGTTTTTAATAAATTTTGTCTTTTTGTTATTTCTCCTAAGATACGCCCTCCATTTACGCAAACTCGCTAGCAAGTTTATGCCTTTTTTCTTCAGCCCCTCTTGCATTTAGGCTCTTCTGTGAATTATCAAATTTTCCAAGCCCTAGACATTTCAACTATCACTTCTTGACATTAAGCATGTGTCCTTTTTGTTCCCATTTTTCGGCCCATGTTATTCTCACTATCTTTCTGTAGGACCACATTTCTTCAAAACTCTTCATCCGTGATGAGATTGTTCAACATTCACTGCCATATAAGAGGACTAATATTTCATAACAGTTGAGTACTCTTTGTTTCTGACGAGATTCGTCTGTTTTTTTTTTTAATAACTTGCTTAGCATTTGAAAGGAATTCTTTGCTATCCCAGTGCGTCTCCGAATTTCACTGTTGTACTTTCCGTCATCTGTTAAAACGTTTTCCCAAATATTTAAATTGTTGGGCTTACCTGATTTCGGTATCTCTAATTTTTAATTCGCATGTTAGGCTATTCTCTTTGCTAACAATCATGTATTCCGTCTTCTAACAATTGATGATTAGTTCTTTCCTTTCCCCCTACCTTCACAAACCTTCTGTAGTAGTTCTTTTAGATTTTTTTCTGGGTCTGCTAACAACACAGTATGCGTTTAATGTACGAAAACATGTAATCTCACAATTACTATTTTCATTTCCTAATTGCCCATTCGATGACACTCATGGTTGGTAATAAATCTTATGTCTCCTTTCCTCATTTTTAATCTGTCAATATAATCCTTGAACGAAGAGTAGGAACCGTTGTTATCTGCTTCATCGATCCATCGATTTGTTTTCCTCATTTTCTAACATGGGAAGGACATTGTATACCTCACTAATACTACGGCTCACGTGTTATTATTATCAAATTTCTTTAGCTAAGTCATGTTTCTAATAATTAGAGTGTATTAAATGTATTTTCGCTTTTCAATCCTGGAGGATCTCTCAAGACCTCATATATATTTTAAGTCTATGTAATGTTCTACATAAGGTCATTTTCGTAGATGTATCACCTTTTAAAGAATTTATGTGATGGTTATGTGAGTCTCGCCTGTACAATGTTCTAACCACCTTAACTTACCACCCTTAAAACTCTTAAACCAGAAGCTTTTGTGACTTTGACTTTAATTTAATGCCTCAAAATTGTTGGAAAATCTATACTCATAATCAACTTTTAAAAAGAAGAATATATTGTTTTAATTTGAAGTAAGAAATTTCTTCATGTTTAGTTAAATATTTGATCTGTTTGAATCAAAGGAAGAAATTTCAGAAAGCAAACATATAGTTCTACTGATCGTCACCTAGTAAGAATTGAAAGGAACAGTTTTAGCTTGAGCAATAAAATGACTAAGACGCAATAGATTACTGAGTGTTAGATAATATAAGAAAAAAAAACTACAATTTATTAAAAGATACAATAAAACAATAAAAACACAGGGGAAAGAATATAACGATTACCATTGCATTTAAATTTTTGAAGATCAAAAGTAAAGAAACCGGAAGAGAGTTCCACAAGCAAGAAGTGCGATGGAAGAAACTATTAGTATAGAACTTACGGTTATATTTAGCCATTTCAAATGTAAATTGATAAGGCCATGGCACCAATCTAGTAGTGCTCATTAATTCAGAAAATCTAGGTACCATAGAGTAAAGTTCATCAGAACAATTAACATGAAAATATGTATAGAAGAGACACAGGAAAAAAAAAGAGCTAAGACAGCTCAGGAAAGAAAATAAGTATAAACCAGAAGAAAAAAAAAAACACGAAAAGATGTGAAAAAAATTGAAAATAAACAGAACAAGAAAATTGAGTTCGATGAAAGTAATGGCTGCTTGCTCGTTTCCGAGCCGCCAATCCCTTTTGCAGACGCATGTACAGGCATATTTTATGTCTCTTCAACCCCATCCCGCTCTGAAGAGCGAACCAGTGATTTTTTCTGAAACTGTACATGTCAGTCTTTAATTAACATTTTCTGGGAAATGCAGTAAAATCTGGCGTTATCAGTAGATTAAGAAGGCCAACGTACTTACACACTCGGTCACTAGTGAATTCACTCTAGCACAACTATAGCTTTTTTCCGAACAGTGCTATGGCGCCACACTTTGCGATCATCTCTCAAGGAATGTCTTCGCTGAAAAATCGACAATGCTTGGATACGAACACAGATTTTATGGTCGGGATGCTAAAGTTCTAAACACTCGGCCAAGCGCCCGTTTTTCTATGTGACTTAACGGCTTACCAGCATAGTATAAAGAGACTGGAGTACTGAGATCTGTTGGAATTCCAGCTATTAGGATGTCTATGTTCATTATGTATGCAATCATTGATAAAAAGCCTGAATTCACTTCTCAGTACATTTTCCCCACATCGTATAACTCTTGCCAGAAATTTTAGATTTTCTTACTTTCGCTTTTTCTATTTTCTTTCTCTTCTTTTTCTTCCATTTATTTTCTTTTCATAGCACTCTCTAACTTTCTTAGTCATTTTGTTTCTACTTCTTTCCTTATTCTATTTCTTTCTTTCTTTCTTTCTATTTTTATATACCACCAGACTTTTCCTTTGTTTGCTCACTTTTTCTTCTTCAATCTGTTGAGTCTAAAACGTTTGTTCTATTCTTCTCGAGATGCTGTGTGTGGAGTTTTACTTGCGATTAAATAAATGTTATGTTGCTTGTAGTAATGTTTTGTGTTTATTGTTTAAGGAAACGACTTTCTTAAGTAAAATGCCTGCTGTAAAAGATAGTAATTCCTTTACGTCTAACTGATAATTTTCTGCAAGTTAAAAACCATTACATTTCATGATAAATCTGCTTCACACTTTGTGGATTACCAAATCAGAAGACATCGGCAAAAGACATATTTGAATTGTCTGCGACTGCTGATTGGACGCTCCTGTCTTTTATTGTTGTAACTTACATTTGAAAAGCATTTCCATTTCTGAATACCTTCGTCTTCCTTTTGGTCTTTGTATCCGTTTCTCTCTCTGACTTGATACTTTTCTTTACTTCTGTTCTTCTTTACGTCTATTCTTCTTTACTTCCTTTTCAGAAGAGAAAAAATCTTCTTTCCCACTCTTTTTTATCGCTCATTTTACTTAACATTTTAGGTTCTTTTAGTTGCTATATTTTCTCTTTGTCTCTTCATTTCCCGTTCTTTTTTCCCATTTCCACTCTTCTTCCTCTTTC